TTTTTTCATTTTCATTCTTCTTCTCATTTTCAGCCACACATTTTTCAATAAAATAATATTTTTCATCACATCAATAACTTTTCCTTCTTTTTCAACCACCCATTCTCCAAAAAAAATACTATTCCGAAAATTATAATATCAAATAATGGGAGTCAAACCGGGGCTAACTTCGATCACTAATAATAAGTCCAACACTAATAATTAAGTCCACCCTCCATAACATAAAACATACACTTTTGGAAGCCTTCTTATGATACATATCTAGGGGAGCTTGTTTCTTCTCAAAATTGATGTCGACTTGGATCTCTTCTCCTGCATTTCGTAATGCAGAAAAAACATTTGACACAACAGGCTCCGCAGCAGGCTCCGCAGAAAAAACATTTCGTAATTGTATTTTGACACGTCTACTTGAACAGTGACAAGAAGTTTAGTTTCTTTTCCACATAACAGAGATCTTGACACGACATATATCCAAGAAATTTCCTAAGAAAGGGTTTACCAGAAATTTTCTGTTTGATTTCTTGGAATAAGCAGTTTCTTGACACTTAAATTTTGACCGACTTATTGGATGAAACCAGCCTGTGCGGACCATGTTTCTCGATTATAGACCACATACCAAGATATCTGAATATAAACTTAAATGCAATTCTCCTGTATCCTCTATGCATTCCATACCATATACTGCCGTAGACCAAGACTTCAGTCTTTATAAACCGTGCATCTTTCAATCAGTAATCCCATTTCAAATCTATCGTGTAGATCCCATGTTGAAGTTTCAATAGTTCAAGCGGATTCTCGTATTTCGAGATTTGGTATCTTGCAAGATTTTTGTTTTAAGAGATATAGCTCGATGTCTAATAACTATGACAATTGGGAAAGACTTGTGGACGCCGTGCTGCGGAGAGAACATGACCGGGAACTTGCTTTAGCTCATTCCAGGGATCCAAGTTTCAGCTCTAGTATCATATCGGATCCCGGTACTCCAATTCGTGACAATCAGAATATTCAACTTGGATCTTCTTCTGATACAGTAAATGAAACGGATTGGGAGAGATTGCTTCTATCTGATTATGAGGACATCATCTCCAGATCTGCGGATCCTGCGGCCTACGCAACCATGAAAGACCTCTATTTGAGTCTCTGTGACTCTCCAATTTTCTTTGATGGAGGCAAAATGGTAACATCACAAATTTTTATAAATTTCTATATTCTGCTGTTATTCGTGGACTTAACCGAATTAAAAGGATTTATTATTTGACCATTGACGAATGCAGAGCTTTCATATTGATAAAACAACTGGGAAGAAATGTGCTATGATTGGAGCAAGAAAACTCAAAATTTTATGGGGTGAAATCCCAGAATTCTGGAAGTGGACATCTCACGACAAGTCCAGGTCCTTTACCATATATAAGAAATATCTTTTTCCTTCTGAATTCATTTGAAATTGCATATTAATAATATTATGTGCAGATTCTTAACGGTGGCAGAGCTTAATCAAGTTTTGAGGTTTGATATTCGAGGACAAATAGATGCAAATATGCTGTCCCCAAAGACTCGCTATGCAGCTTATCTTGTATATGGATTTGCGAATTCTTACGACGGTAGTCCCTCGTTAGTAAATGCAATTATCAGTTTTGATAAAATTAAAGATGGCGAAGCTCACAAGCAAGCTAGTGTTTTGCACCTCATACCAGGAAAAGATAGAAATGGGAATACTGCAATGAGACCCGACAAGTGGATGGAGGTAGAAATTGGAGACTTCTATACTGATCAAGAAGATAACAGTGTGGTGGAGGCGCGAGTATGGGAGCATAAACAAGATTTGAAGTCCGGCCTCATTGTAGAAGGCATTGAATTTCGGCCACCCAATGCTAACATTGTGAGTTTTCCAAAGAAAAAAGAAGAGAAAAGGGAGTCAAAGAATCTTTTCAAACTTTAGGATTTCTGAATGAAATGAACACAAAATTCTGTGTCTCCACCTGATTTGTCTTCTCTTTCGCCTTCTCCCGACTTGTTCAGCTTGGGGCTGAAGCTGCTATGCTAGAGTACTTATCCTTATTTGGACTGTACTTTGAAAACAAAAGTTATGTAAATGATAGGAGGTATTAGCCCCAACCAAGTCCTTAGTAGCTCCGCCCCTGAAGTTATGTAAAAAATATATGTTACATCATACGCAGAAGAATCGTACTTTGAGAGAAATGAATGCTCCTCCACATCTCAATTACCAAGGTTATTTATTCATGTGCAAGAATAATGGAGGAATAAGAATATTTTTTTTATATTCTCTGTTTTCAGAGAAGATGTTGAAAGTGGATACATATGTTCATCTAAAGAAACTATTAAGTGATGCAACGTGAATCAAGACGAAAACGTGAATAATCATCGTTGATTCCAAGTGAATACCAAATAAGGTTAAAAGAAAAAAAAAATTTAAACTAAAAGGTGCAAATACAACCGTCAAAAGAAACATGAAAGGAAGCAATAAAGTAGACGCTCGGTTTGAAACAAGTATTGATGGGGTTTGGTCGAGAACTCTGACACCAATTTTTGACATTGAGATGGACAAAAATTTATTGGAGATGCCGATAGGAAGAGAAAAAAGAAACTTCAGTCCTACGGGACAATGTTACAGTCAATATTAGAATGATAAATTTTGTCCACAATCCTTCTTTTATAAACTGGATGTTAATCAAAGAATCAATTCCACGAGTTCATATCTGACGAACCATAAGTAAGGAGAGGCCCGGGGTAGGTCCAACTTATTTTGTGCTACTAAGGAAAGTTCATAAATACTTCCGTCTAAGAGAAGAAAAGTCATGCAAATTTAAATATTTCGCTATCAAATAGTCATTTCTCATCTTGCTCTGGTTTGATAAGAAACTTTAGCAAAGTAAACCACGAAATTCTATGTTGTGACTAAGAAATCCTTGAGATCTGAAAGGATGAGCCAAATGGATGCAGTTCCGGAAGAAATATAAGTGTTGGAGGTTGAAACAAAAAAGTCCAAGTAGTGATGCTAATCCAAAAATAAAATGGAAGGAACACCGGTAAGAGTTCATGCAAGCGTCTCTTCTGTCAGACACCATCGCCAATAGAAAAGAGCGCACACTACGAAGACAGTGCAGGAAATGGAGGAAATCCTCAAAGCACTAACATCAAAAAATGTATATTTGTGTGCAAAGTATGAGAATCAGAGGGTCATGATTTGACGTACAACAAGTGCAATCACTGGGAA